AAGTGGGCTGTAGCCCACGAAAGCTTATGCTCTAATAAATGTGTTAGTCTCTAAGGTGCCACAAGTACTCCTGTTCTTTTTCGATTGTAAGCGCTTTGGGGCAGGGACTGGTCTGTACGCGTGCAGTGTGTAGCCTAGTGGTCCTTGTTCAGTGTCGTAAGGCCTTACCGCATACAAACATTTAACTTTGTCCTAACAAAAAACCAACCAGAAAGCAAAGCTTGAAGCAGTCTGACTAAAACCCCTTTCCCGCAATGGGGTGCAGACCCTTGGCAACTACTGTAAGGCTAAGAGTTCTCCAAGAAAATGAGGTAGAGAAGAATGTTCTTAAGGTGTTGATCCTTCATAGGAGAGCTGAATCTCTGTGGGGTTGAGCTTGGCAGCTGTTCTGCTGGCTCTGGGATCACTTGGGGTCTGTGGTTTGTAAACAAACATCTCTCCTAATCGTATTTTTTTTCTCCTTCCCATAGGGTCCTTGATATCAGCCCAGGTCATGGACAAACAAACCATTCAAGTGACTGAGAACAAGCGTAAGTGCGGAGTGCTAAATTAATAGATTCATAGATTCAAAGGCCGGAAGGGTCACTGTGATCTAGTCAGACCCACGCCATAGGTCTTCCCTGAATTCATTCCTGTTTGAACTAGAGCAGATCTTCTGACAAAACGATTGATTTAAAAATTGCCAGTGATGGAGAAGTTGTTGATTGCTGCCTGTGCAGTCAAGGTGTAGTTCCACCCACTGGCCTTTCCCAGCTGGGGAATGATCTCTGGCTGAGGGCTGGTCTACACTGAAAACTTACATTGGCATAGCAACAGCTCTCAGGAGTATGAAAAATCCACGCCCCTGAGAGACATCTATGCCAACCTAAGCCCCGGTGTAGAGAGCACTTGGTGAAAGAAGAATTATTCCGTTGAGCTAGCGACTGTCTCTCGGGGAGGTGGGTTAACTACAGTGACACGAGAATCCCTCCCTCGCTGTAGTGTCTGTGCTCAAGCGCTCACCCTGACAAACTGCTACTGTGGTCCTGCTTCCTTCCAGCAGAAGTCAGCGTAGTGATCTTTAGGAGCACTGATGGCTCGGAGCTCACACACTGCAAAGATTATCCCTGGGTTGGTTCCTGCCAGCTGGTTTGGTTCAGTTGTTTTCAGCTTTGGGAAACGGGCCCTTGTACAGCACCAGGGGTGTGTGTGTGTATATGTATATAAAATTACTGGTTTAGATGTGATTCTCTTTGCACGTATTGAATGTGATCTAGTCATGACCGCTTGTTCCTAAGATGTTGTAAGGTCAGCTCTTCTTCGACTTGGTGTCCGTGTGGATTCCACTGCAGCTGCACGTGCGTCTCCTGGGCATGAGTTCGGTTTCTTTTGACTAGCTGAACTTGTTGGAGCCGCTTATCTTCTTCCCCCCTCCTTCCCACTCCCTTCATGCTCCTGTTTAAGGGCGTAAAAGGCAGAGCAGACGCGATCCTCCCTCACTTCCCTTTGTTGCCCATGGCAGCAAGACGGGACCGAGCGAGCGCCTGGCCCACTGTTCCCCTAATTGAACAAGTTATTTTTTTAAATCAGATTTGTGAAAAAATCTTCACACTCCTTTCATATGGACATTTAAAAAAAAAAAGTGAGGACCCCCTCCCCCTCATACCTCATGCAAGCTGCCACATCTCAAGGCAGACTTCAAAATCTGCCTATCCTGTGATGGACTCATGCCTGTCAAGGATGGACACAGTCAAGGCAGCTTCTGCCTATGGGAGAGCCACCTCCCGGATGGGGTGCTTTGTGGGCAAGTCCATTTCATCCAGGACCCGCAAATCCAGGGACACTCTGCTCAGGCGGCATATGCTGGAGCAGTCCACATGGGTCACTTCAGACACAGAAGTGACGGCCATTACCAGTGTCAGGCTAGTTTAGCCGGTATCTGCCAGCACTCTCTTTTTAGGGATATTAAAGAAGGTACTAACAGTGATTCCCCCAAGTGACAGTGACCCCCTCATAATTTGTCCCCCACACTTTAAAATCCAACAGTTTCACCAAGTACAGAAATCTCTTGGGTCTTCTGTTAAAACTTGTAAGCTACTGTCTGTAGAAACCATTGATTATGTCTATCCTGTGAAAGACACTTTATTACTATGTAAAACTTACAAACAAGTTAATTGACTTTGTTCTTGAAGTAATTGATACAATGTAAACAAACACTATAAGCTGTTAAGTGACTTTCACTTCATTCAACGGCTCCTAGGACAGACCCCCACCCTCTGTGATTAAAGGGCCAGGAGTCTCAAATGAATTAGAACACACCCTGAAAGTGGTGGAGACAGTAAATTAAAATATGGTTAAGGTATGGAATGTATGCTGATGAATGCTTGATATACATGGATGGTTAGGGAGGTGCCAGCCTAGAAAGGGAGTATCCATCTGCCGAAGAATGTGTCGAGTAGGACCACCAGACAACCCCCTGAGGGTAAACTGGGATCCACCCCATCACCTGGAAGGATGATAAACACAAACTTTGGACAG